AATTGCTAAATTTTAATTAAAGAGGATAACCGAATTGTTATCAGGCGGAAGTAATAGTTGACACCCTATGTAGCAATATGATTTCTGGAGACGAACAGCTTCGAGACGTATCGTCAGTAGCATTAAAAACTGTGGTGTCAGAATTGTCTCCATCGGATAATATGTCGGCCAGTGTAATCAAACGCATCATCCCGAAACTCACAAGTGCACTTCGTATGTTATCCTATTCACTTTTGGTTTAATTTACTTCCTGCCACCAGTTTTCCATATGCACAGTCAAATTTATTTGAGCGATGAACAGTACGGTAATATAAAGATGCGACGATATTGTAAAAAGAGTTTTTACTTTTACTTTTACATCTCTGAACTAAGAGATTAGACGAACTAGTGGAGGAGCATTAGATGGATGCGAGATAGTTTAAATAGAATATTTTTTCAAATTACCGTTTCTTCTTACTTTCTCTTAGAAACTTTCTGTTTGAGAAAGTATTTTTATGACACATCTTTCTTGTAAATTTAACTTTCTGTTTTAGGTGATGTTGCACCTACTGAAGCCTCCGTACGATTGGAAATTTTAGATATAATTGCAGATGTTTTACTTCGTTATGGCTTTGCGCTTACTACTTATTTAGTTCCTGTAAGTTACAGGGTTTTTTTTTAGAAGTATTCTTGCATATTCAGACGCTTTAAGTTAATTCATTGTAGCTTCAAGAAGTTATTTTGGCACAGCTATTCTCAGACCGACAAGCACTTCGTAAACGCTCTTTGGTAGCTCTTGGGAACCTTATGATAGCGGCCCCAAAGACATTATACGCCTCGACATTAGATTCTTTGATTGGGCACCTCTCTGCTGAAAAGGTTTGAAGTGACTTTCAGCTTTTTAAGTTGAAATTTTTTTTTGGTTTCTACATTGTGAGCGTCTTATGCTGATAGTTCTGGTGTTTTGGAGGTGTATATAGGCTTTCATCGCGGCGTCGACAGTAGGTTGAATGAATTTTTGTTTTTTCTGTGTTTTAGATTTCTTGCAAACTACAGTTGTTCTTTTACTTTTTGGTGAGGCCAGTTCTTCCTGATTAGCAAAGAAAATTAGGCATTGATGTTGGTATGCACAGCATATTTATAAAATTTACAGTTTTAAATTTATCGTGCTTCAGTCTGGTGTGTGGTCATATTGAGTGTTAAGCTTTCAAATAAAAATTAGGAAGGTAGTGAGATTATTCCGCTGTTGTTTTAAAATCCTGGCGTTTTATTACTGTTACATTTCTGGAACTATTAGGTTCCTTTGTCTCGTGTGCGGACTATAGTGCAAACAACTCAATATGTATGCAGATGCACAGGAAATCGTTTCGCGCCGTATTTACATGGTCTTGTTCCAATCATATTACGTAATGCTTTGGAAACGAATGATGACGAGCTATGCGAGTCTTGTATTCAGGTGAGATAGGGAAAAAAAGAATCATGTTTTTTGATTTATCCAGTGTTTATAAGTTTAACCTTTACTGGTTTTTACGAAGTTTGCAGAATCCTCAGTTGTTTGCAGATTTTCCAAATTTTTAATAAGTGAAATTTCTTTTTCCGTGCGGTATATGTAAAATTTCTTTGATATAGCGTATGAGTCAGAATTTTTTGCTGAGCTACAAAATGAATTAACTCTGATTTATCGATGCGAATTCATTAATTTTGAATACTAGCTACTTTTGAGATTTTTTCTCCAATTTGCTTTTGAATGCCTTATATTATTGAAACTTAAACTATTTTAAAGGCGTTTGATTCGTTCTTATTCCGTTGCCCGAAAGACATCACGCCATTTGTTCCAAAAATTGTTGAGGCCGTATCGGTATTTCTTAAACACGACCCAAATTACACTTATGACGATGATGACGACGATGAAAACCTTGACGACCAAAGGAATATGGATACTGACGGTAATTCTTTTTTGTTATCATAAGTGGGTTTTATCATTAAACTTTGTTTTTGCATAGAAGCTGAGTCCGATCAGGATGAGGACATAGAAGAGTATTCTGATGACGACGACATGAGCTGGAAGGTTCGAAGGGCAGCAGCAAAATGCATAGAAGCTTTGGTTTGGTTTCTGTTTTTTTCTATCATTGGTGTTTTGTAAATGCAAATTTTACTATAAAATTTTTTTTCTTGCTGAAAAGTTTTTGCACACTTATTTAGCTTTTCTTTACACAGTTTGATTTTTGGGTGAAAAATTAGGTTGAGAGTATATTCTGATTTTTTAGATCATTTCTCGTCGAGAGCAGATTGTGGAGTTTTCTGACACCCTTGGTTCTCTTTTGATGAGCCGATTCAAAGAACGTGAGGATAACGTAAAATGGGACATATTTCACGCTTACACACAGTTGCTCTGCCAAATTAAAAATCTTTTTCCAAACCTTTCGTCAGTTTGTTTGGTTAGACTTGTCGTTTCGTCTACTTCAGTAATTTCTTTTTCCGTTTTTGTATTTTTTTATTCTTTATTATTTTCATATTTGTGACTCATTAGCGTTTAGACCGAGGAAGATAAAGAAAATTCGTTAAGTCATTATAGCGAAGGAGATATTGCAAGAGTTAATGGTGCGGTTATTTTGAAGAGTGCAGTTACTGATGAACAACTTGCAATACTCAAGGTTGTTTATTTTAACTGGTTTTTTTAAGAATTTAGGACTTGGAATTTTTATATTGTATTACTTCATATTGGACTACTGTTTTAATCACTGAAGACATACTGCAGATTCTTGATGCTCAAGTACCAACTCTGGTTAGAATACTCAATAAGCAGTTGAAGACCAAAGTGGTGAAAACTAAGCAGTGCTGTTTTATTCTCCTTACTCAGCTTTTGCGGTAGTTTTCTTTTACATTGTTATAGGTATTAAACTTCATGATGGAACTTTCAAATAACCGCAAGCAATTTTACTTTATTACTTTGTATGCTAATGCAGGGCGTATCCAGGATCGCTGTCAGGTCATCTCCATCTTCTCGTTCCTGGGGTACAAGCAGCTATGACCGATAAAACGTCCAATACGAATTTAAAAATTGACACTTTAACATTTTTATCTATCGCACTGTGCACTCATTCTCCTGAGGCAAGCTTCGCAGATTTCAAAATATTTTTTTGCTTTCCTTTTTCTGTGTTTATTTTTGCTTTTTAAGAAACTGCATCCATATATGAATGTTCTGGTTCCTCTGATAGTCCAAGCTGTGAAGGATTCATTTTATAAAGTTTCTGCTGAGGCACTTGATGTGACTCTGTCATTGATTAAAGTTTTACGGCCATCTCAGCCTTCAGCAACCTTTTTCGACTTCTCAACTTTCGTAGGAAGTATATATTCAGCTGTATCAGAAAAGTTGAAGGCGACTGATATTGATCAGGTTAAATTAGTTCCGCAACTTATTACTAGTAGTTCTGCTATATCATGGTGTATGAGTTGAACTCGTATCTAATGCATTTACTAATGCGTTATTACCAATTGCAAGTCACTACCCATGCATTTGAACATTTAGGAAGTCAAGGAAAAGGCCATTACCTCAACAGGATTACTTATCGCCACGTTTGGGGACTACCTACACGATGAAGTAAGGTTTTAATAAGTCCACGTTTTAGAAAGTAGTGGTAGCAGTTCTCTGCTACTATTTTAAGTACCATAAGAGTCATTTTGATTATAGGCAGACTGTTTTTTATAACAATTTTTAGTTACGTCTATGTTTGCCGATATTGTTAGATCGACTTCGAAATGAAATGACACGTCTAGTCACCGTTAAGTCACTGAACACAGTTGTGAATAGTCCATTAAAAATCAATTTAAGTGCAATCTTGCCAGATTCTCTACTACTTTTGGCAGAATTTCTCAGGAAAAATCAACGGGCATTGAAAGTAAGTTGTGAAGAGAAAAATCGATATTTATATTGGTCAAGAAGTTCCTGAAGGTGTTTTTTTTTGAATACTCTGGAAGTTTTTTTCTTTAATTTTATCTCCGAAATAAAACGTTTCTTTTATCTTAGGGGAACTTGGCTGTTTACGTTGAAATATTTTGTAATTATTGAGTCGAACATCACTGTAAGCGTTATAGGAGGTGTATTACATGCACAAGAAGTGCCATTTAATTTGGAAAAGCTTCTCGCTTTTTACATTGGCATCAGTCTTTCACATTTTTGAAAATTTGTGTATCAAGCATTTTCAAAAGTTCTTTGGAGAATGTAAAACTGTTTTAAAATAAGGTGAACTGTGCTTCAAGAAAGTTTTTTCAAAAGAATTGTTTCTGATAAAAAATAGCGCAGTTTATTCGGATGACTATTAAGCATATTTTCGCCTTCTGAGGTGGTGTAGTTTGGTGCTTGAACAGATAATTTTTTTAAATTCTAATGAATTCTAGTTATTCTGCAGATTGCAACGTTAAATTTACTGGACAGTTTGGTCAACAGATATACTCACAGTGGATTGGATGGTAACGAGCTGAAGAAGGTGCTAACAGAGACGCCAGCTTTGATTTCCGAACTGGACCTTCAGATTAGCCAGCTGGTGCTAAATTTCTTGAAAGGTATTTATTGTCATTTGTCATATTCCTTATTAAGAGGTAGGGACTTAGGTAGCTTAAGTTGAGCTTTTGTTTTTATTTTATTAACGTTTTTTCAGATGTCATAAAAGTTTTTTCTCTCACTATCAGCGATTCTCTGTCATCTATCCTCAATGCCTTTGTTGCATTAACGCAGAGTTCCTTACTGCAAGGCTCAACCTTAAATGCTGCATTACAGTTTCTTGATACTCTTGTCAAAACTCCTCTCCCTGATAAGCCTGATTTTGAAGTTTGTTGACAATGTCTTTGTTTATTTCCTTCTAAGTATGGCTTAGTAAAGAAATTAACTTTTAGACTTTACTAACTCAGCTTACGCGACCAGTCTACGAGCGTTCAGATTTACATAGGCAAGCTTATCATTCGATTTCTGCTTGCACTGCAGTGGTCGCTTCTTCAGCGGATCTTAATAAAGCAAAAACTTTAGCCAACCAGCTGGCGGATCAGTTAAAATCACCTAAAACATCAAACGACATTCGTCTTTTCTCACTTTTAGTTCTTGGAGAGCTTGGTAGGAAAAGACCAGAACTTTACGAGAACAACGATTCAGTCAAGTAAAGGACCTTTTCCCTGTAGTTTAGTAGTTATAAAGGAAAGAAAAGGCTGTTGAAATGTTGAAAGTATTAGGTTTACGATCACAATTTTTGTGCGGAATTTAGTTGATGTTTTGTTGATTTTGTTAGCTTTTTATGTTTTAATTTCATTAAATAAGTTAAATTTTTTATAGGCCTGAAGAGCTTCTGATTGAAGCTTTCAATTCATCTTCTGAGGAATTAAAAACGGCAGCGTCTTACTCATTGGGACGTCTAGCAGTCGGAAATCTTGAAAAGTTTTTACCCTTCCTACTGAAACAAATCAGCGCTCAGCCTAAACGCCAATATCTTCTTCTTCATGCGTTAAAAGAGGTTCTTGTAATTTTAGTGGCTAATTTATTTGTAAGGAAGCTTGCAGGATGCTTCCAATGGAACCGTTTTCTTTCCACATTTTCTCTTCTACCTTGATTAGTCACCACGATTTGGGACAGAAAGCTGCTTTTTCATCAACGTATTAGAAGTTTTACTTTTTATCTGAGTGAAACTGTGCGGTTCTATATGCTGTGTTTCAAAAGTGTTGTGTTTTTTAATAACAACTGTTTCAAGGTTATTGGGTCGGGAAGTGTTGACAGTCGCGATATTGAATTCTTCAGACCCCGTATTGAACAGATTTGTCCTGTTTTGATGGAACATGCAATGTGTGCTGAGGAAGGTACAAGGAATGTTGTTTCTGAATGCTTAGGAAAACTTTGCTTAGTACATCCCGAATATCTACTGCCGCGGCTAAAGGTAAAAATTTTTATACTTGTTGGAACCTGAATGGTTTTTCATTTTGAAGCTGTCAGTATTTGAGTAAATATCTTGTTTGCTGCATAAATCTACTAAAACTTGTGATCTTAGTTTCAGTCCTGAGGAAGAAAGTTCTCTAACATATTTTTCAGAAGTTGTTCAGTTTCTGGAAATTTATTTTTTTTCTTTGGGTGTTTTTGTCCCGGAATTTATTTTTTATATTTTTTGATACCCACCAAGTTTGTCTTGTCGTTTATTTTTACCATTGAGAATAGTCAGCTTTCAAAGAGTTTTTATCTATTAAAGGTTTCGTTGCTATACGTTTTTACCTCACATTTTTCGACTTCTTTTTACTTCAGTGTGTAGTACAAGCTTTCGTTAAAAAGTTCGTAGACTGATAGTTTCATAAGAAAACAGTCTGTTTATAGTCCTCTACAAGCTTTATAGATATTGTGTATGACGAGCTTTAAGGATTTTTTAAAATGGAGTCAAGGAGGTTTTTAAAAACTGTGTGGTTTCTCTCAAAAAAGTTTGAAATTTCTTCAGAGGTTTTCTCCTAGATCTTTGCTGATTAGTTTGCAAACTTTTTAAGTTAGTCTCTTATTGACAAAAATATTTCTGAAAGTTTTTTCAAGTCATTGAACTTATCCAGCAAATAGAAAATTTTTTTTTGTTTTCTGTGAGTGCTGCGCCTGCAACGAGCTTTTTTTGCTCCGCAGTTAGTAGTAGACTAGTCTCCTGTAGAAGTTTAGGAGCGACCTATCACGTTTTGTTAAGAGTACTTTATTTAGGCAAATATAGTGCTTTATAGTATAGTGCGCAAACGTTACTGTTCTTTTTTTGCTGTGTAGTTTTTGGTAAAATTATTGAGCATACGTTTATTTTTACTTGCAAAATTTTTAGGATTGTGTGAAGTCTAAATCACCCCTCCTGCGTGCAACAGCTGTCACTGCTGTGAAATTTTTAATAGTTGAACAATGGACGGCCGTTGACGAATTGCTACACGCTTGTATGGGTGAATTTCTTCAGACTGTTAAAGATCCAGATCATAACGTCCGGCGTGTTGCATTGGTCACTTTCAATTCTGCAGCTCATAATAAGCCTAATTTGGTAAGTTCAGTAGATTTTAATCAGTGAGTTAAAAAAAATAATTGTTTGAAGATTTAATACTACTTACGGACAAGAGACAGATAAGCAGTTTTGTAGATACGTGATTTGCTTGACGAGCTACTACCTTCTTTGTATGCGGAAACTGTTGTTAAAAAGGAATTGGTAAGAGAAGTTGAGATGGGTCCTTTCAAACACACGGTAGATGATGGACTCGATCTTCGCAAAGCTGCATTTGAATGGTTTAATTTTTATTTTTAATTGCATAAAGCGGATCCTGATCTAAATTACTTCGAAGCTCTTGAAGGTGTCAAAGAGAGTGTTTTTTTTAGCATGTACACTCTCTTGGAAACGTGTTTGGAGAGGCTTTCAATTCCTGAGTTTATGACTCACCTTGAAGCTGGGCTCTCGGTTTGTTTATCGTCTTATTCCTTAAATTTTGTGGTTTTCAATGAGAAGTCTTGAATCAATTTTAAACACTAATTTTCCAACATGGAGCTTCTTGATGTCCTTGAAGATAAAAGTCAGGGATCATGCTGTTCAGCTACGCCTGAACTTTGGAAACTTTTGGTTCACAGAGGAATTGGGCAGTGGCAACCTTTCTTTATTGATGCCCGAATTCTCCAGTGTTGACTTAGCATTTTTTGTGAGGTTTCTGAGATAAAATTTTGCTTTTGGTCTTGGGAAAATAATCACGTGTCGTTGTAGGATCATCATGATATAAAACTGTTAACTTACTTAATGTTAGCTCGGCTTTCTGTTTTATGCCCCACACAAGTGTTGCAGCGACTGGACAAGATCTGTGAGCCTCTAAAGGTAGTAATTAATGTTTTTTATAGTTCCGGAAAACTGTGCTTAAAAGTGTTTTTTTTTACAGCTTTTTATTTTGTAGGCTCAGATGTACGCAAAAGTAAAAGCAAATGCCGTCAAACAAGAAAGTGACAAACAAGACGAATTGAGGAGGGCTGCTTTACGCCTGATTATTGCTTTGCAGGTTTAAAAGATGGTGTTTTTATTTAGTAAATAGAGATTTAACTTTTTTCTAAATATCGGTTTTGTTGAAGGTGTGGTGAGTTAAGATCTGCTTGGTTACTGCTAGAATGCCCTTCACTTTAAAAGTTTACTCTTTGGGTATTGTCTTTTTGCTTATTTACCATTTTTCTAGCGCATACCAGAAGCCGATCGCCAGGGACATCTTGCAGAATTGCTAAATGCTGTGCGTAATAACTCAGAATTGAATGCTTTATATCAAGTAAGATGGTTTTTTATTTAAACCCTTTCATATTGTTTGCCTTTTTAAAAAAAAGGTGCCAAAATTGTTAAAATGCATCTTGAACTTAAATTTTTTATTGTCAGGTCTTATTTTTGGTTTACTTTTTGCTCATTTTTAATTAAGGTAGTGAAGCATTTATATTATATTCTCATAATGCTCAAATTGTCCCGAATGAGTTAAGCTTAGAAAATAGTTTCAGGCGGTAGAAAAAGATATTGCTCATCGTTCCTTCTCAACGGACACAGCTATGGAGACGGACTGATATAAAATTATTTACTGATTTTTTAATTGTAATTAATTTAAATATTCATGTGAAGAAAAAATCGGGTATTTTTTTGTATAATATATACTCTGAAACGTCTCATGTTGATTGACCGAGTCTTTGAATGAGAAGGACAAAATGGCATGATAAAAATAAGTGGTAAAGGCACAAGGCACACGTTGAGATGATGACCTTTAAAACTGTTTCAGAGGTTTCTATCAGTCATTCTTTTTTGTCGAAAGTTTTTATTTTACAAGCTAATTTGTCTTTTCTTAATTCCTGTTGTTTTAAAGTTTGCAAGTTGTTCACATTACTTTCATTCTTCAGTTAGTAGCATAGGTGCAGTTTCTTCAGCAAGTAATTTTTTGGTGTTATTTAATAATTACAATATTGTTTTAAATGCTTGTTGTAATGAAAAGAATTTTCATGTCTTTTTCATTTTCTAGTTGTATAAGAGAATTTGATATTAATTGTTACCTTTACACTCATTTCGAGTTTCTTTAAAAGGAATTTTTTTCCATTGTTTTACTGATGCATTAAGATTGTTGGCAGACTGGCGAACATGACGGTATGAGAATCGTCTATGCAAGTAAACAAGCAACGGAATAAGTTTTTGAATAAATAGGTTTTCTCCAGTTAGCTGACTGAGTGGAAGACATTTTAGGTGGCTGGTCTGTTAGTAAATGGACAGCTGTATTGGTTGGGTTTTGCTAATTTATCAGCTGACCATATTTATTCTGCAGTGGAAGGGTTGTGTTTGCGGCGCTCGTCAATTTGTAGTTTGTTGTGGAGTGGTTGATAGCACAGGTAGAGTGTTTCGGATGCAAACCTAAAAGTTTTCTATGGGGAAGCTATAAGTTTTGACGGCGATGTTGCCAAGGAGTTGAAAATACTGTTTAAGAGATTGCCGTTGATAAATGGGCATTTTGTCGTTACTAGGCTGCCAAATAGAGGGCGTGAGAGTCGTTGCGTTTTACAAATGTGCGATTTCAAGTCATTTCGCCTTACTTTAATAAAGCTGCACAAAAGGCGTAAAACAGGTATGCAAACATCAATTATAGGCATATCAGGGAATCTTGCAGAAGGCTTTGGCAGTTGCATGTAACTGCTGGTACGGAAGCAAGTTTCCGCATAGGTTATGTTCATAAAGTGAAGCGAAACGGCCTGAAGGCCACAAAGCATAAACCTATAGATTACAACTGGTGAAGGAATGAGCAAAGAACATAATCTTCTTAGTTGCAAGCAAAAAGTCCAAGTTGATTGGACAGAGGCCAAAAAGGAGTGTGGATGTTGTCGACGGAGAGGCATTCTACATCTGCTTTTCTTCACTGGTTAGTCAGTTTCCGGCAGTTTCTGTCCTGACGAGTACTCGCTTAGTATTCATGCGAAATAACGTTGTGTTTAAAGGATAAATTTTTGCCATTCATTACTCGGGGTGTCAGAACGAGTCAGACAAATATTATTGGTGTAGGAAGGTAAAGCGGAAGTATTTGAAGATGTGGTAAGAATCTTTTAGTATCTATTTCTTTTTCCATTTAATTGACAACTTTAAAGACTGCTTTTGCATCTTTCTTCTTGCGGTTACAGCTTTCGTATAATCAGTATTTTATAGCTTCTTGAAATACTCGTAAAATACTAGAATGAGGGAAAAGTTTTGTTTAAAATGCATTTTTTAGCTATTAGAAAATTAAAAGGTAGCTTTTTCTGGTTTTCATAGTCTGTATAAGAATTTAACATAAAATTTTTAATGGTTTTAAGAAGTATTTGGCTGAAAATTCGATCTCTGCAAGATCTTTGTGGCATTGGTCAATGGCATCTACTGTTCCGTATGTACTTTAGGTTGATTAAATAAAGAACTTTTAAGCTTAATAAGGAAAGAATGGTTGGGCTTTACAGTTCGTTCAGTCTTGGTGTAATTTTTAAGTAATTCATTCCAGTTTTTCACCGCGCTTTTTAAAGCTTAATTAATTTCTTAGAGACGAGCTTTTCAAATACGTCAGTTGTTGGAAAGACGTTTCCTAAAATAAATGCTAAGGTTTTTTTCTCGTTGGTCTTGTTCACTAAAATGGTTTTGTAAAAGAAAAAAGGATCTGTTGTTATTTAATCATCACAGTTTGATTCGTTTGGAGTTGGAAATGTGTTAAGTTTCATTAGCCAAAAAGATTACTGAGGAAATTTACAACTACTTTATTGCACTTTGTTCATTTACGCTGATGTTTAACAATTTAGTTCAAACATCCGGTGGCTCATTATCACAATATCGCCCGTTTTGACACTATATGCTTTGGTACCTCTTCTAGTTCACTTCCTACCTGCATTAATGCAACATGTCTTCTTCCTTAATTTTGGTAAATCAGTTACCTTTCGTGAAGCAGTTGTTGATCACAGTTCCTCAACGTTTGTTAGTTTATGTTAATTCCTTAAAAGCTTTTCAGTGAAAGTACCATTTCGTAATTATGGTAACCTAAGCGCTTTTGGAGTCTCAGTGCGTGGAAGGAACTTCTACTTATCAGGAATCGATGGAGTTCGTTTGGGATGCTGGTAGTTTTTGCAGTGAAATTTTGAGTTTTTAATTAGAATTTAACAGTTTGTTCTTTAAGGCATGTATTGCCTAAAAAAATTTCTGAGCAACTTGGGGAAGATTCAAGTGAAGCCGATATGGAAAAAACGTTGTCGGAACCTGGGTACCCAATTTTTGTCTATCTGCATGGGAATGCTATGGATCGGTGCGAGTTTTTGCTAATATTTTGAAATTCTTAAGATACTACCTTTGTATTTTGGGAGTTAAGTTTTTTTCTTGAATGTTTGGCTATATATATATATTTTTTTTTCAGATCAACGAACCATCGTGTGCAGTTGTATAACGTTCTTTCATCGTTAAATTTTCATGTCCTTGCCATAGACTATAGAGGTATAAAGTTACAGAATTTTTGCTTTTCTGTTTGTTCGTAGTTGAAGAACAGTTTGTAGTGGTATTTGTTATAGGATACGGTGATTCTGAAGCTTTCCCTACAGAAATTGGTTTAATTGAAGATTCAAGAACGATTATTAAATATGCACGGAAATTTTCTGAAACGAATAATGTTTTTGTTTGGGGTCACTCGATGGGAACTGGGTATTTTTTTCTATAGCATTTTTTTTGATTTTCGGCACACTTTTTCACCTACTTTTTGCAGTCCTTGGAACTTTTCCATTTTGCTTCAATAGTATGTGCCTAGAGAAAAAGTATTTGAAAGAAGTAGAAAGTAAAGTAAAAAAAGATTCTACGAAGTATTTAATCCAGATGGTTGCCTAACTGTTCTGTCAAGCTAAAAGAGATTTTAAAAATATCTTTGAATAAAAAATTTTTTCTTTCTAATTGCTAACTTCTTGCGTTCTGTTTCCGGTTCTTTTTCTTATTGTTTATTTAATCTTTTTTTTGGAATTTTTTTTGTTCTGTTGTAAAAGTAAGTATGTGATGATCTTGTATAAGTCTGGTTGGACCAGCGTATTGGAGATACAGTGTACTGAGGATCTAAACTTGTTTTTTTTTTTCATTATTATCTATCAATAGACATACGTGTGCCTTGTGTTTTAAGTTCAGTCTAAAGTTACATGATTTCTTCTAGAGTGGCTATTGCAACTGTGGTGGCAATAAGTGATTCATCATACACACCACTTGGTTTGGTCTTAGAAGCGCCATTCAACAATCTCCATGATGTCATTTTTAATCATCCATTCTCTTCACCGTTCCGTTGGATGCCACGTTTCGAAGATATTTTGGTCAAACCACTTCAAGCATCTGGACTTAGGATGAATTCTGATACTCGTATTGGAAGGTTGTCACCTGGTTTTTGTAGGGATAATTTTATTTTAGAAAGCATAATAAGTATTAGCTGTACACTTCTAGTCTAGAATACTTTGCGGTTTGATTTGTTAATTATAGGATTGGTTGTCCCATTTTAATCATGCATGCTGCTGACGATCAAACGATTCCGGTTAAGCTGGGACGTCTTTTACGCGACTCGGCGGTAAAGAAAAATCGGGATGTTAAATTTGTGGAGTTTGATGCTAAACGAGGCTTCCAACATAAATTTATACATCTTGCAGCGGAACTGCCTTCAATTCTTTTGTATGTTTTTTTCCTTAACTTTAACCTTTAATTTATCTTGGCATTTTTTGTAATCTTCTAAAGCTCTAGGTTATTGGATGGTAATTTGATTCATTTAAAGTGTAATTCTTTGTCTAATTCCAGTCATAGTAAGAAGTTTTACCTAAATTTCAACTAGCGAAAAAACTTTATAATTGCATATTTTCAGGCGGTTTGTTGAACACTGTAAAAAGACCTCCTAATATGATCAGTATCTTTTTAATTTTACCTGGATTAATGGTCAAAGAAGCAGGCTTTTTTGCATTATTTGTATCGACTTGTATGTAATCTTTGGAAATGTGTATTATGCGTAGAAATCGGTCAGTAATAGATTTGTTATTTTGCAAATTACTGGTATCACCATTGGTAATTAACAGTATTAGTCTCTCTCTCTCTCTCTCTCTCTCTCTTTTTTTTTTCAAATACGTATAATAGTTTATTTTGGGTACCGGTTGAAGTCATCTCTAACGAAAAATTTATTATTTTCTGGAGTTAATTACATTTTTATAGTTTATTGTTGAATTTTTCATCAATTTATTCCATTTTTGTGATTGTTTTCGGAATGTAGATACTTTTGCATTAGGATGTGTCTGCTAGTTAAGAAGAGATTTCAGAATAATTTTATGATGAACCCGTTTAAGGAATGTGTAACAGTACTTTTAGTGGCGACATTAAATAACCAATTATTTGTCTATATTGATCGAGTAAAGATGAAATCAATGTCGTTACTTTTTAATTTAAATTTGGGAACCTTTTTTCATAATATCATTCTTGCAGTCAAATAATTGGGTATTCGATTTTTCGCGAATAATTTAATAACAATCGTGAAAAAAAAAAACGCATCATGGATTGATTTCAAATTGAACAGATTCTTCGTTATCAGTTTTTGTTGAGTAAACCACAATTTTTGGTGTTTGTCGTAACGGTTGCTTCTTTTCTGTTTCTTTTTTGCAAAGTGAAAACGTTGTGCCAATCGATAAGATGAACCTGTTTTTAAAGGGATTTTAGTATTTAGTATGCCGTTGTGATAATAATGGTGATAATAATTATAATGATGGCAGTAACTATTGTTATACTTTTGATTTTCTCACGATGTTTATGTCTCTTGCTAAAATATCCTTTTTTTGCACAATGAATTTCTCTTCAATTTAGTCGTTATTTACAATTCTAGTGTAATATGTTTTGCTACTACATTTCTGAATTCGGTTTTTTGTAGGATTTCTCAATGCATTGAAGAATGAAGCATCGTAATGTTTGCATTAGGCTTCATTTCATTTCTGTTTTTTTTTTTTATTGAATTCTATTTGTAATTAATTTTATAATTACTTACCATAAAGATGGGAAAACAAATTCTAGTATAACATATGTGAGATCTTCGGTCCGATACTCTTTCGGTAGCCGATTGATGAAGATCCATGCAAAAATCCTGAAATATGAATCCTTGGAAATATATGCTGAATTTTATAAAACTGTTGTTAAGTTTCATTATTAGTATTTAAAGTCCAAGAAATTATTGGTGCTTTTCAACGGTTCCACCGCTTTAAGCAGAAGAAGCTGCAAGAGTTGTTATGAGCCAGCGTTCCTGCCAGCTTTTTTCCGTACGTTAAGGCCATTTACACGAAAATATGGAATATAAATTTCTGATTCACAAGGAAGGTCTAATAAACGTTCCCAGAATTGTGATGTTTAAATAACACTTATTAAGCAGTTTTGGATTTACTAGTCACCTTACCTAGCTACTATCAGCAGCGGTTGTACAATAGCACATGGGAATGCGAAGGCTGGTTTTTTGGTCCAGAATGCAGCACCCATTCCAAGAAGGCCAACAATGACATCCATAAATATTCGTAACATTAGATAATATTGTTCATATTTACCAATTTTACTGTAGAATTTCCATACGTTAGGTGAGCTTTCACTATCGTCTCTGAAAATTCTGCACTAATTATCGAAATTTTTATTTGCTATGTCTTTGTGCTGTTGGTCGTAGAGATGTTGTTAATCTTGAAGCAAGTAGTAAGAAAATTATTGAGCAAGTTTAGTTATGTTAAATAGTTGATACTGTTCGGTCACATTTTGTAACGTTTTCGTTTTGCTTTACTTAATTTCCAGGATTTTTTTGGCTATGAACTGCACCATCCCGTTGTCCGCCCACAAAGACTGTCTGCTAACGCTCCTATTTTTTTTTAGATTTTCTCGATAACTTTGCTGCTTCGTGAAAAGTTCAGTTGTCAGAGTCCTTTTTTGAACAGAACTTTGACCAAGCAGATAATTTTGAAAAGGTTAGGAATCCACAATTGATAGCTTTTTTTTACTCTTCAAGTTCGTTATTATTTTAGTCAGCAATAGTGTTTTAAGACACTGTTTGAAGCATCTGCATTCTGACAAAACTGTTAAGTGACAAGTCGGAACTTAAATTAAAGGCATTAAGAGGAAGTGGTCTTATTTTTTGGTTTTTTACAACTTAAAATTATACCTCACATATTTGTCATTGATCAATAATAAGTTCTAAATTTTTTACTGCTTTTTAACGACTTGGAAATACCACTGCGATGCTCAACTGAAGCAAATTTGAAGCAAGTAAAAGGTTATTGCACTGTACAGTGATAGTCTTTACAGGAAGTAGTAATAAATCGATAAAGAGGAAAAAGGTTGCATCTTTGAAAAGATAACAAATAGGATGTGGGTATTGCGTAGAAGGTTTTTCATAACAATGTATTTGCGATTTATTAAGCATGAAAAGTACTTGGCATTTGAAAAAACAGATCGAGAGATAAAAAACTGTAAGCCACTATAAATTTGACAGGTTCTAGAAAGCCAGCAAACATCAGTGCTGTACAATGTTTAGTTGAAGGCATACAGAAGAAAAGAAGTATTATCCTCTGTTAAAACTTGCAAAATTGAAGACTTTTTTTTCGAAAAGGAGGAACTAGAGATGAGAGAAGGAATTGATTACAAAACTGAATTTTAGTCAACTGAAATACAGGATGCCGAGTGCAAAAGAAATATAGAAAATGTTTTGTACTAAATTTTTGAAATACTCAATACTGCAAAAGATTGTTTATACTGAGCTGGAAAAGTAATGTATGAGTCTACTGGATAGGCACAACTGGCATGGACTCGAATAAAGAACTGCTGCCTAAAACTCTACGGGGCATGTATCAAATAAATCTGTTGCTTTCTTTTAAAAATCTGCCAAACAAGGAAAAAAATAATTTTCAATTTTGTATTCAAATTATGTTTTCATATAAAGAAGACTGGGGAAAGCATTTGTACATCCCAAAACAGTGAACAAAAAAAAATTGTTCAAAAACCGTTATCTGCAACAATAAACAACGTTTTTGCAGCGGATAAATGAGGAATAGTGCAGTGACAAAACTTTGACAAAGATTTATATTTATATTTTCGTGATAGTTTCATTGAACGTTCCGGGTTCTGTTATATTTTAGACCTTTCTTTCCTAAACGTCATCCCATTCACGTGCAGATGGACTGCACCAAAAAAGAAAAGAAAGTGAACAAGAAACAAAGCGGTAAGGTTGAAAATAAGATTCAAAGGGCGTCAGACATCTGCTGCCTAATACCCGCCCACGTATCAGTCAAACAAAGAGCGAGTGACGCTACTGGTCTCCCACTGTCCAAATGCCAGAAATGTCTTAAGGAAAATTTGCAAACGCCCAACCGCTTACCTATTTGAGTAGTGCTCAGACAACAGTGACATCTGATTGTTGGTGACATAGGGTGGTATGAGGTTGTGAAGTGACGTTATTAGAGCTGGTGAATGGGTACTTTTGCTGTGATTGGTGGTTGGTGAATCTGTTTGATCGGTTTTTTAACAAGTTGCACTAAGATTTTTTTGTTGCAGCAATTATATATATGTGTTAGGATAATTCGTAGTTGCTAGAGAAAAATAATGTTCATTGATTTGTACTCTATTTATACTGCATGCAATTAATGGGTATAAAATGTTGGGAAGAAATTTATTTGTTTTCTTCACTTCCTGCTTTTTCCTTTACTTTTTGCATAGTCTTAGCATATACCGGTAATATGAAGGCAAATTTCACCCAACTTCTTATTACAGATGCCTACTATCAGTGGATTAGTAAAAGAAGCTGGTAGTGAATCGATTGCGGTCACTTTAATGGAGCACTTTTTTTTTTAGTATTTCTACTAAGCAGCATAAATATTCTATAATTTTTATGTTCTAAGAACAAGGACTGAGTAGTTTTCTTTATTCTTGCAACATTTTTTCATTTTTTCTTTTTCGTTTCTTAATATTTTGTTATAAATGCAAGAGAAGAAAAAAATTTTTTTCTCTATTACTTTTTAGCAAATCTCTCATTGCTATAAATTACTAAGCGTTACTGCATACGAGGGGTGAAAAAGCTACGAATTGAGTGGCTGTATTCCATATTTGGATGACTCAAATATTTGAAAGTGGTAGGAAGTAAACAATTAGAAATAATATTGGTAAGTAGATAAAATTGTTGCGAGTGTTTTGAAATAGGCAAACTGAAAAAGACGATTTCTTTCACCTCTTTTATTTGTTATTTTGTGAAAG